ATCATTACTTCTGAGAGGAAAAACAAAGTACCTTTAGGGTACTATTAAAAACAAACTTGTCAGCATCCCAAAGCTAGAAAAAAAACAGTTTCATAAATCCTCCTCTAAAACATCCAAGTTTCATTTTGAAGAAGAACTCTCAGACTTTTGTAGGCGTACGCTATAATTTTCCAATAAACAACTGTGCTGCTGACTCATTTACTCTCCACTCTGGGATGGCTGCGTTTGTGGTTTTTAGAGGTGTAGCTTGGAGAGAGTTGCTAAGTACTTTGTGTTATTTAAATAAAAATAAATCTTTAAATGGAATGGAAAGTTACCATGATGTGAAAAATGTCCTAATTTGGGTTTTTGTTAATGTACCTTTTTATCTTTTAATTGTTATCATGTGAAACCACTTCCCTACTGTTTGGATGTGCTCCTTATGGTTGTGCTAATCAATCATTTTTATAGAGGTATACAGCACAGTCTGCAAGGCAGAGCTTAAAATATTCAAGCATCTTTACGAACATTAGCATGCCAACCTACTCACAATAACAATACTAACACACTGATAATCTAGTAAATATCAAATACCGTGTTCACTATGGAAGTTTAACATGTGTTTAATTAGCAAAATCCTAACTGAAGTACACTGAATGCAACATTATTACATTTGCAGATTTTTATTTGTATACTATAGTATTAGGAAAAATATTGACTTGTTAAAGCTGGCTCCAATTTTTCACTCTTTGGTACAGAAAATGTTACCAAAGAGTTAACTAGGTAAAGTCGTATTTTATTTATTTATTTATTTTTAAATACAGTAGTTTATTTAGTTACCAAGCTACTCAGACAAAAGAGGCAATACGGTAGCAGAGCATCAGTCTGCCTACATCACATGCACTGCCAACACTCTGCCTCCTCTTGGGTCACGTGAAGAGACACTGACTGGAAGTCTGGCAACTGTTGCTATGGCAACAAAGGCTCTTCCTAGCAACAAATGTATGGCACTTTAACAAGAAGAGAAGAGGCTGCGCTGCCTGACTGAGACAAATGGCGAGCTCTAATGCAGAATCAACAACGTCTGGCTCCCTCGATATAAATAATAGCAAATCTTGACTTCTTCAGCTGGGAAACAAAGCTGGACACTGAATCTAATCTTCAGAGCTTTGCAGACAAGATTAAAAATCTGACAATACACAAGAATACTGCAGTAAGAGTGTTAGTGACTGTCTTCAGGTTCAGAAAGTGTGGTGTTCAACAACATGGCAGCTCCTGAGGCACTTACAGGTCTTTTAACCTGCGCCTGAAAGCAAGTGCAACTGGTGAGAATCACCTGTCTCTGGCTGAGGAAGATACTCTATGTTGTTACATGTTTAAAGCCAAGAATTGTGTGTAAACTCACCGTATCACATAGGTCCGGAACGGTATGATGTGTTGCATGACGGCAGGAATGTGCAACCATATTCGGATCTGTGGGCAAGATCAAATACAATATGTGAATAATTTTCAGCTGAGAATCTGTCTTGCATCTTAAACAGAAGTTCATGTTCAAAGTTGTGCATTATATTTATTACAGGGACATTATAAAGAAAAAAAAAGGCAGCTAGCCAAAATATCTTCAGTATTTGCCTCCAAAAAAAAACTCCAAACAGATTAACAATTTCATCTTAAATTTAGCAATTATCAAATTTAAACCGATCACAATTTACTGCTGTTACCACTATTATCCAAGTTGTTTTTAACATACTAATTCGTATGAGAACTGGTTCTTCTAAACTGTGGTTTTTGAAATAACAGCAGCGGTTTAGATTGATAGCACTCACATTAGAAACTATGGTGATGAAGGCGTGGGCGATAGGGAAGGGGAGGCTCTCTGGAGTGCCAAACTCGAAGCACTCCTTCATCAGGGAGAGGCCGTGTTTCCCACAGAACAGGCAGACGTAGCGCAGCAGATGCAAAGGTACCTCCACATCCTAGACAAGAGTAGAGCAGGTTTACAAACGTTCATCCACTCAGAAGCTCATTTGTAATCTGAGCTAGCCCTGTCAACTGTGATGAAGTGCTGTTGCAACAGAAGACAAAGCTGTTGAATGCACAAAGACAGGGCAAAATGACTTTAAAGAAGCATCTTCTATTCTAAAGAATATTCACTGGTTTTGTTTCTAAACTGAAGGTTCTTTGTGACTTAAAGACGACTGTGTGGTAAAAGTATACTGCTGTGCCAAACTCAGTATACTGTGAACTTGAGACTGAAAGTAGTGAATTAAAATAAAGCGTGTAAACACTTATTTCTTATAGGTATGAGTTACTTTTGCTAATAAAAACCAGAAAAGCCATTAGTTTCCAGATTTCCAGCTCAGGAGTTTTTCATAAAAATGTTCTTCAGGCCATCTTAAACCCTCTCCTCCCCCAAGCTTAATAAAAACTTTATCATAGTGGCAATGTGAACAAAGATAATCCAGGGACACATTACTTCTCTCTGGGGCACTGCAACATCATCTACAGGAATTCACAGCACAAGTTCCCAGAACAGCTTTAGTATCATGTTGACAGTACAGAGCTAACACATGAGCTCATTTACAATGTTTACAAGCCTTACAATGCTCGTTTCAGAAAACAACGAGCTTCAACAGGACCCATGACCAATAAAATCCTGTTACCATGCATTTTATGAAGCTTAGAAATTCTCTTAATAATGTAAGCACATGTACGAAAAAAATGTAACCCCCCAAGGACTACCAAAACAGTGACGTGACCACTGTGAGTCATCTGGTAGGAAACGGAAAGAAGGACCAGGGTTACATGGTTAACAGTAACTGTACTTTAAAACTCAGTGTGTGGGGACTGTAAACCAATCAAAGATGGCATTCTCTCAGAGACAAAAGTAAGCCTAGCCCTACATATCAGAGTAATTGTATTTATATGGTCACTCAGTTAGTAGCATCTTATCTACAAACCATTCTGGGCACTCTAAGGGACAGATGAGACAGCTGTTTAAAACATGTGATGTCGTGATATTTACTTCACAGTAGGATATAAATATCTTGAGATGTTACTTGTATACATACATTTCTTCCTACTGTTATCTATGCAGCGATGAGAAATCTGATCTGCTGCTGCCAATTTTCCAAATTACATTTAGAATAGTCACGTGAGCTGAGCCTCTGAAATCTGCTTTTGGAGGAAGTAGAATAACACTTAAGCAATTTTCTTCCAGGTCCCACACATTAGACTGGACACCTTTT